CAGATCAAGATGTCTCCGGTACAAATCTGGGTGCCCCCTTTGGGAAACTGTACAAATCACCAATTTGATGATTGAAAATTTCCATCAAGTCAAGGTTTTTGATTGTTAGCGCAAAAAAATCAAGTCATTTTGAGGTGTGTTGTGTTTAAATTTCCAACCATAATAAAGAGACAGAAGGGGCTATAGCTCAGTGGTAGAGCATTTGACTGCAGATCAAGAGGTCCCCAGTTCAAATCTGGGTGACCCCTTTGGAAAACTGTACATATATTACCATTTTGATGATTGAATATTTCCAACATAAAAACAAGTGGTTTTGGGGTTTGTGGTGGACTTTTGTCATTCCACAGTCTAAAAACAGAAGGGGGTATAGCTCAGTGGTAGAGCGTTTGACTGCAGATCAAGAGGTCCCCAGTTCAAATCTGGGTGCCCCCTTTGGAAAACTGTACATATCACCATTTTGATGATTAAAAATTTCCATCAAGTCAAGGTTTTTGATTGTTAGCGCAAAAAATAAAGTGGTTTTGAGGTGTGTTGTGTTTAAATTTCCAACAACAATTCAGAGACAGGAGGAAGTATAGCTCAGTGGTAGAGCATTTGACTGCAGATCAAGACGTCTCTGGTACAAATCTGGGTGCCCCCTTTGGGAAACTGTACATATTACCATTTTGATGATTAAAAATTTCCATCAAGTCAAGGTTTTTGATTGTTAGCGCAAAAAATAAAGTGGTTTTGAGGTGTGTTGTGTTTAAATTTCCAACCACAATACAGAGACAGAAGGGGGTATAGCTCAGTGGTACAGCGTTTGACTGCAGATCAAGAGGTCTCCAGTTCAAATCTGGGTGCCCCCTTTGGAAAACTATACATATCACTATTTTGATAATTCAATATTTCCAACATAAAAACAAGCAGTGGTATTTACTGCAGATCAAGAGGTCCCCAGTTCAAATCTGGGTGCCCCCTTTGGAAAACTGTACATATCACCATTTTGATGATTGAATATTTCCAACATAAAAACAAGTGGTTTTGGGGTTTGTGGTGGATTTTTGTCGTTCCACAGTCTGAAAACAGAAGGGGGTATAGCTCAGTGGTAGAGCATTTGACTGCAGATCAAGAGGTCTCCGGTACAAATCTGGGTGACCCCTTTGGAAAACTGTACATATCACCTTTTTGATGATTGAAAATTTCCAACATAAAAACAAGTGGTTTTTGGGGTTTGAGGTGGATTTTTGTCAATCCACAGTCTGAAAACAGAAGGGGGTATAGCTCAGTGGTAGAGCATTTGACTGCAGATCAAGAGGTCCCCAGTTCAAATCTGGGTGCCCCCTTTGGAAAACTGTACATGTTACCATTTTGATGATTGAATATTTCCACCAAGTCAAGGTTTTTGATTATTAGCGCTAAAAATCAAGAAGGTTTTGAGGTGTGTTGTGTTTAAATTTCCAACCAGAATACAGAGACAGAAGGGGGTATAGCTCAGTGGTAGAGCATTTGACTGCAGATCAAGAGGTCCCCAGTTCAAATCTGGGTGCCCCCTTTGAGAAACTGTACATATCACCATTTGATGATTGAAAATTTCCATAAGTCAAGGTTTTTGATTTTAGCGCAAAAAAAAGAAGGTTTTGAGGTGTGTTGTGTTTAAATTTCCAACCAGAATACAGAGACAGAAGGGGGTATAGCTCAGTGGTAGAGCATTTGACTGCAGATCAAGAGGTCCCCAGTTCAAATCTGGGTGCCCCCTTTGGAAAACTGTACATATCACCATTTTGATGATTGAATATTTCCAACATAAAAACAAGTGGTTTTGGGGTTTGTGGTGGATTTTTGTCGTTCCACAGCCTAAAAACAGAAGGGGGTATAGCTCAGTGGTAGAGCATTTGACTGCAGATCAAGAGGTCCCCAGTTCAAATCTGTGTACCCCCTTTGGAAAATTATACACATCACTATTTTGATAATTAAAAATTTCCATCAAGTCGAGGTTTTTGATTGTTAGCGCAACAAATAAAGTGGTTTTGAGGTGTGTTGTGTTTAAATTCCCAATCAGAAAACAGATACAGAAGGGGGTATAGCTCAGTGGTAGAGCATTTGACTGCAGATCAAGAGGTCTCCAGTTCAAATCTGGGTGCCCCCTTTGGAAAACTGTACATATCACCATTTTGATGATTGAATATTTCCAACATAAAAACAAGTGGTTTTGGGGTTTGTGGTGGATTTTTGTCATTCCACAGTCTAAAAACAGAAGGGGGTATAGCTCAGTGGTAGAGCATTTGACTGCAGATCAAGAGGTCTCCAGTTCAAATCTGGGTGCCCCCTTTGGGAAACTGTACATATCACCATTTTGATGATTGAAAATTTCCATCAAGTCAAGGTTTTTGATTGTTAGCGCAAAAATAAAGTGGTTTTTAGGTGTGTTGTGTTTAAATTTCCAACAGAATAAGAACAGAAGGGGGTATAGCTCAGTGGTAGAGCATTTGACTGCAGATCAAGAGGTCCCCAATTCAAATCTGGGTGCCCCCTTTGGAAAACTGCATATGTTACTCTTTTGATGATTAAATATTTAAACCAAGTCAAGTTTTTGATTATTAGCGATAAAAATCAAGAAGGTTTTGATGTTTGTTGTGTTTAAATTTCCAACCAGAATACAGAGACAGAAGGGGGTATAGCTCAGTGGTAGAGCATTTGACTGCAGATCAAGAGGTCCCCAGTTCAAATCTGGGTGCCCCTTTGGAAAACTGCATATGTTACTCTTTTGATGATTAAATATTTAAACCAAGTCAAGTTTTTGATTATTAGCGCTAAAAATCAAGAAGGTTTTGAGGTGTGTTGTGTTTAAATTTCCAACCAGAATAAAAAGACAGAAGGGGGTATAGCTCAGTGGTAGAGCATTTGACTGCAGATCAAGAGGTCCCCAGTTCAAATCTGGGTACCCTCTTTGAAAAACTGTACATATCACCATTTTGATAATTGAAAATTTCCAACATAAAAACAAGTGGTTTTGGGGTTTGTGGTGGATTTTTGTCGTTACACAGTCTGAAAACAGAAGGGGGTATAGCTCAGTGGTAGAGCATTTGATTGCAGATCAAGACGTCTCCGGTACAAATCTGGGTGCCCCCTTTGGGAAACTGTACAAATCACCAATTTGATGATTGAAAATTTCCATCAAGTCAAGGTTTTTGATTGTTAGCGCTAAAAATCAAGTGGTTTTGAGGTCTGTTGTGTTTAAATTTCCAACCAGAATAAAAAGACAGAAGGGGTTATAGCTCAGTGGTAGAGCATTTGACTGCAGATCAAGAGGTCCCCAGTTCAAATCTGGGTGCCCCCTTTGGAAAACTGTACATGTCACCATTTTGATAATTGAAAATTTCCAACATAAAAACAAGTGGTTTTGGGGTTTGTGGTGGATTTTTGTCGTTACACAGTCTGAAAACAGAAGGGGGTATAGCTCAGTGGTAGAACATTTGACTGCAGATCAAGAGGTCCCCAGTTCAAATCTGGGTACCCTCTTTAGAAAACTGTACATATCACCATTTTGATAATTGAAAATTTCCAACATAAAAACAAGTGGTTTTTGGGGTTTGAGGTGGATTTTTGTTCAATCCACAGTCTGAAAACAGAAGGGGGTATAGCTCAGTGGTAGAGCATTAGATTGCAGATCAAGAAGTCCCCAGTTCAAATCTGGGTGCCCCCTTTGGAAAACTATACATATCACCATTTCGATAATTGAAAATTTCCACCAAGTCAAGGTTTTTGATTATTAGCGCTAAAAATCAAGAAGGTTTTGAGGTGTGTTGTGTTTAAATTTCCAACCAGAATACAGAGACAGAAGGGGGTATAGCTCAGTGGTAGAACATTTGACTGCAGATCAAGATGTCTCCGGTACAAATCTGAGTGCCCCCTTTGGGAAACTGTACAAATCACCAATTTGATGATTGAAAATTTTCATCAAGTCAAGGTTTTTGATTGTTAGCGCAAAAAAAATCTAGTCGTTTTGAGGTGTGTTGTGTTTAAATTTCCAACCAGAATACAGTCACAGAAGGGGGTATAGCTCAGTGGTAGAGCATTTGACTGCAGATCAAGAGGTCCCCAGTTCAAACCTGGGTGCCCCCTTTGGAAAACTATACATATCACTATTTTGATAATTGAATATTTCCAACATAAAAACAAGTGGTTTTGGGGTTTGTGGTGGATTTTTGTCATTCCACAGTCTGTAAACTAAAGGGGGTGTAGCTCAGTTGTAGAGCATTTGCCTGCAGATCAAGAGGTCCCCAGTTTAAATCGGTGTACCCCCTTTGGAAAACTGTACGTATCACCATTTTGATGATTGAATATTTCCACCAAGTCAAGGTTTTTGATTGTTAGCGCAAAAAAAATCAAGTGGTTTTGAGGTGTGTTGTGTTTAAATTTCCAATCAGAATACAGATACAGAAGGGGGTATAGCTCAGTGGTAGAGAATTTGACTGCAGATCAAGAGGTCTCCAGTTCAAATCTGGGTGCCCCCTTCGGAAAACTGTACATATCACCATTTTGATGATTGAATATTTCCAACATAAAAACAAGTGTTTTTGGGGTTTGTGGTGGATTTTTGTCGTTCCACAGTCTAAAAACAGAAGGGGGTATAGCTCAGTGGTAGAGCATTTGACTGCAGATCAAGAGGTCCCCAGTTCAAATCTGGGTGCCCCTTTGGAAAACTGCATATGTTACTCTTTTGATGATTAAATATTTCCAACATAAAACAAGTGGTTTTGGGGTTTTGTGGTGGATTTTTATTAGTTCCACAGTCTAAAACAGAAGGGGTATGAAAACAGTGGTAGAGGCATTTGACTGCACATCAAAGAGGGTCCCCAGTTCAAATCTGGGTGCCCCCCTTTGGAAAACTGCATATGTTACTCTTTTTTTGATTATTAAATGGCCCAAACCAAGTCAAGTTTTTTGATTATTGGCTAAAATCTGCAAGTGGTTTTGAGGTCTGTTGTGTTTAATTTCCAACAGAATATGAGAGACAGAAGGGTATAGCTCAGTGGTGAAACGTTGACTGCAGATCAAAGGGTCCCCAGTTCAAATCTGGGTGCTTGCTGAGAAACTGTACATGTCAACATTTTGATGATTGAATATTTCCACACCAAGTCAAGGTTTTGATTATTGGCTAAAAATCAAGAAGGTTTTTTGAGGTGTGTTGTGTTTAAATTTCAAGCAGAATACAGAAGCAGAAGAAGGGGTATAGCTCGGTGGTAGGCATTTGACTGCAGATCAAAGAGGTCTCCAGTTCAAATCTGGAGTGCCCCCTTTGGAAAACTGTACATATCACCATTTGATGATTGAATATTTCCAACATAAAAACAAGTGGGTTTGGGGTTTGTGGTGGATTTCTGTCGTTCCACAGTCCAAAAAACAGAAGGGGGTATAGCTCAGTGGTAGAGCATTTGACTGCAGATCAAGAGGTCCCTAGTTCAAATCTGGGTGCCCCCTTTGGAAAACTGCATATGTTACTCTTTTGATGATTAAATATTTAAACCAAGTCAAGTTTTTGATTATTAGCGCTAAAAATCAAGTGGTTTTGAGGTCTGTTGTGTTTAAATTTCCAACCAGAATACAGAGACAGAAGGGGGTATAGCTCAGTGGTAGAGCATTTGACTGCAGATCAAGAGGTCCCCAGTTCAAATCTGGGTGCCCCCTTTGAGAAACTGTACATGTCAACATTTTGATGATTGAATATTTCCACCAAGTCAAGGTTTTTGATTATTAGCGCTAAAAATCAAGAAGGTTTTGAGGTGTGTTGTGTTTAAATTTCCAACCAGAATACAGAGACAGAAGGGGGTATAGCTCAGTGGTAGAGCATTTGACTGCAGATCAAGAGGTCCCCAGTTCAAATCTGGGTGCCCCTTTGGAAAACTGCATATGTTACTCTTTTGATGATTAAATATTTAAACCAAGTCAAGTTTTTGATTATTAGCGCTAAAAATCAAGAAGGTTTTGATGCTTGTTGTGTTTAATTTTCCAACCAGAACACAGAGACAGAAGGGGGTATAGATCAGTGGTAGAGCATTTGACTGCAGATCAAGAGGTCTCCAGTTCAAATCTGGGTGCCCCCTTTGGAAAACTGTACATATCACCATTTTGATGATTGAATATTTCCAACATAAAAACAAGTGGTTTTGGGGTTTGTGGTGGATTTTTGTCATTCCACAGTCTGAAAACAAAAGGGGGTATAGCTCAGTGGTAGAGCATTTGACTGCAGATCAAGACGTCTCCGGTACAAATCTGGGTGCTCCCTTTGGGAAACTGTACATGTCAACATTTTGATGATTGAATATTTCCACCAAGTCAAGGTTTTTGATTGTTAGCGCAAAAAATCAAGTGGTTTTGAAGTGTGTTGTGTTTAAATTTCCAATCAGAATACAGATACTTAAGGTGGTATAACTCAGTGGTAGAGCATTTGTCTGCAGATCAAGAGGTCCCCAGTTCAAATCTAGGTGCCCCCTTTGGAAAACTGCATATGTCACTCTTTTGATGATTGAATATTTCCAACATAAAACAAGTGGTTTTGGGGTTTGTGGTGGATTTTTGTCAATCCACAGTCTGAAAACAGAAGGGGGTATAGCTCAGTGGTAGAGCATTTGACTGCAGATCTGGGTGCCCCCTTTGGAAAACTGTACATATCACCATTTTGATGATTGAAAATTTCCACCAAGTCAAGGTTTTTGATTGTTAGCGCAAAAAATCAGGTGGTTTTGAGGTGTGTTGTGTTTAAATTTCCAACCAGAATACAGATACATAAGGGGGTATAGCTCAGTGGTAGAGCATTTGACTGCAGATCAAGAGGTCCCCAGTTCAAATCTGGGTGCCCCCTTTGGAAAACTGTACATATCACCATTTTGATGATTGAATATTTCCAACATAAAAACAAGTGTTTTTGGGGTTTGTGGTGGATTTTTGTCGTTCCACAGTCTAAAAACAGAAGGGGGTATAGCTCAGTGGTAGAGCATTTGACTGCAGATCAAGAGGTCCCCAGTTCAATTCTGGGTGCCCCCTTTGGAAAACTGCATATGTCCCTCTATTGATGAATGATTATTTCCAACATAAAAACAAGTGGTTTTGGGGTTTGTGGTGGATTTCTGTCAATTCACAGTTTGAAAACAGAAGGGGGTGTAGCTCAGTGGTAGAGCATTTGACTGCAGATCAAGAGGTCCTCAGTTCAAATCTGGGTGTCCCCTTTGGAAAACTGTACATATCACCATTTTGATGATTGAAAATTTCCACCAAGTCAAGGTTTTTGATTGTTAGCGCAAAAAATCAAGTTATAAATAATCAGTGGAAGCGATAGTTATAGTTGCATTTAGCCCGCTTTAGATGTCATTCCGTATGGGCTCATTTTTAAAGGGGAGAAAATGCACAGCACGAAGCATCTGAATAATACAAACTGTGCCATCCTCTTAAGTCCAGAAAGGGAATGGTGCACAGTTGTGGAAAGAACAGGAGCTGACAGGCCTAGTACAGGAGGGAGGTTCATTATGAAATATTCATCTTTTTAGAGGCTGAGCAGACTAGATGTGATGAACAGCTGAAGTGCTCAAATGTTTTGCTGTGTTTTTTATTGTTTTCTTAAAAAAATATTCTTTACAGGATTTTTCTCATCCCTCATATCAACTGGCAATGATAACAGTTTTAGAAAGCTTTAGAGAGGTTCAGCATTGCATTCATACACCTTAAGAGAAGGCAAATCACTGGCCCACTTTAGCACCAACATGGATGCCCCTCATCCAGCTCTTAAGAGTCACACGCATTGTGAACGCTGTTTAATATTTGATGAAATCAGTTCCTCCTGGCTGCATATTCTTTGTCTCCTCTTCTACTTCAACAGAAAAAATGGCTTTAAAAATGGCTAAATTACTTTTTTTCAAGGTCTGTTAAAATCAAATTTATGCACAGTATATTATTGTCGCAACAGGTTTAGTATCTTTACTCACAATCTGACGGATTTTAAAACAATCTTTTGAAAGTTTTAAGTAGCCATATTATATACATTTTAATTAGGTAGTTGCTCTGCGATGGATTGGCGATCTGTCCAGGGTGTACCCCGCCTCTAGCCTGAAGTGCAGAGGAGATGCACTTCACCAGTGGACCCCCGTGATCCGAAAGGGAATAAGCGTGTAAGAAAATAAATTAATAATTGGGTAGTACCTATGTTCTTGTAACATCTGATCTATTCCCATAATAAATCTTAGGTCCATCAATTTGAAATCTAAACTCTCAAAAATCTGGAAAATTAACATACATTCATATGCTTTTTGAAATTTAAACTTAATACGATACCCCATTGATATTTGTAGGAGGGTGCATGAGGCACAGACTAGTCATAGCGTTTACATCATCTGTGCTGTTTCTCAGACTCTTTATATACTCATCTATGTTTGGCAATTGAACTTTCCCCCACTGTGGAAGCGGCTAAGATTGATAATCCAATCATCAATGCACCATTATATGCCAAATCGGTTGCTAAAGTAAATGGTATGATTGCTAGAAGTATGAGTGACCTAATACGCAATAAGTATCATAAACCAACCCATAAGTCCAATAAATATGATTTTCCAAAGCTGAGATAGAGATGCTAAATTGGTTGCTATGGAGGGTTCAGCGACATTGTGTAATGTTTCCTCTGAGCTACCTTAGTGACTCAAAGTAATACAAACCAACCCCAATATCTCAATTATTTTCCGAAACTTAGGTATTGTTCTAAGAATTTGGTTGCTATGGTTTAGTTCTCTGAAATAAAAAGATTTAGGTTTTTATTATGATTAACATAATCTACAAGGTTCATGAGAAAGATGCAATGAAGGAAGTTGGCCACAGAGCACCTTATTTCCTTGGTGGCTGGGTTTTCCAACACAAAGAACACATGAACCCAACCAAAACATAGATGAAGTGTCAACAGGCTTCTGCAAGTTGGGGTTTTTTTTAGGGGTGAACACTGAAGACGATTGGAGGAAATGGAAAGTAGATCCAGGAGTTCAATCAGTCCAAAAACATCCTTTAGGTGAACTGAAGATGGGGTGAACGTGTCTCTGTGAAACATGGCCAGGATATACACTCTTTCGCTCAGAGTGAGCTGGCACCAGCAGAACCCTGTGGCCATAACCAGTAAACCTAATTGATGGATACATTAAAAATGAATTGATGGCTATATTGTGAAGTAGTTAACTGTGATTGATCATCCCATTGACTTGGTAGTGAAAATGTTTTCCTAGATTAACTGAGGATTTTGTATAGCTCCAAATGAACAAACTCTACTGGTATTGCAACAGCATTTGAGAAAACACTCACCAAAATAAAAGATTTTATTAATCTTGATGAACCTTTTGAACTGAAAGAAGGAGAGGAAATGGTGAGTATGCAGTGAGGCACAGAGGACAGAAGGAACACAGGCTAAGTGCTGCAGAGATGTGTGACGCTGATTCAAGGGGACAGGGCCAGTGAGGCATGAGGAGGAGGAGTGTTGATCGAGGTGGCTTTTGGAACAATGGGCCTGCTCTTCTCCAATAAAACGCGAAGGCCTCATCACCGCATTCTGGCCCCAGTGTATAGGCTTTGTGTTTATCAAAACTAACAAGTAGCAGGGATGAAACAAAATAGTGGTTAAATATTCAGCTAGATAGCTGCTCTATACTCTCCATCTTGAAAAGAAATGTCAATGGTTCATAATAATTATTTTAGATCCTAGAACAATGAACAACTGAATATATTTATGCCAAAAAGGTGAGATCAAACTTGAAGGATTTAAATAAATAAAATGCTTCTATTGTTCTCATTATTTTATAAACATTATGGTCCACCTTGATTTATATGTCTACTGCACAGGAGTGCCCATGGACTGAAAGCAAATTTTGTCATTTTTACCAGCTACAATTTGAAACATATTTCTTTCCAGGGCTTGGAAACAGTGCAGTCTAGAAACATCCTTAATGGCTAAGCATTTAGCATGGTGTGGAATGTCCACTTACCATTCTTTAAGAGCCTGATATATATAAGTCAACTGTAATCAGTGGCCTATGTCTCTCTCTATTCTGAGTTATTTTTAACATCTGATAATAAGAGTCTCAATGGAAAAACATTAAATTTGGCAATAAAATATGGGATTTGGTTAGATCTGTAAGGCTTTCAAGACATCTAGTTTTTCCAGTTTGGTGCAGAATTAAGCAGGGATCCGTGCAACGCCTCTCAGAAACAATAGTATAAGTTGATAAAAAATGGAAAACCAGAGAAAAATCAAGAGACCTTTCGTATCTTGA